TGAGCAAAAACGAAATGAGTCTTCCGCTGAAACGTGGAAATATTCACATCCGGCCGCGACTGCCAACAACGGCCGTGGGGGCATACTAGAAAGATGCATGGTACCGGTAGGGGCATATAGCAAATTCTAGTGCAGGTCCTCAACGACCAACAGGTAGGGGCATATTGAAAAGTTGGCAGCGGTACCGGTAGGGGCATATTGAACATATTTGAGGCCCAAGTGACGTCGGGGGTTTTCTGGAAACTTGAGTCGTTGCTAGAGGGGCAATTCAGAAAAAATCGGCCGTCCGAGGGCAAATCGCCAATGAGCGGAAATTTCAGGGGCGTTTTGCAAATTTTCCCAAAAAAAAAAAAGAAGAAGAAAAGTTGCGGCCGTGAACTCAGAAAAAAACTTGCGGCGGTGAACTCAGAAAAAAAGAAAAAAGAGAAAAACGAAACAAAGCTTTGGCCGTGATTGCAGTTGTATACATTCTTGGAAGTGGTGGTGTGAGTGTGCCCTCGGTGAGGGCATCTCAGCCCCGTGGCCAGGTTGTCAGATTCAAAAAAGAGAATAGAAGGGGGAAAAAAATGGGCACACGGATCCGACCGTGAAAATGGCTGGATACATTCCCCTTTGTACCAGTGTGATGCCTGTTACAATCCTCTGACAAAACACAGCTTGAGCAGATCACAGACGGCTTGAGCAATTCACGCATTCCCCCCTGCCTCATTGGCAGGGGACTTATAAGCAACACACGAGCAAGAAAAAAAGAAAACAGTAACATCCAAAATGTAACCGCCTTACCGGTGAGGTGCATTCTGTGGAGGAAGACTCTGAGCACGGCCTCCAAGATTACCCTGCCCGACATCATTGCAATAGAGATAGTATTTTCTTTTTTTCCTTTTTCTTTCACTTGAGGGCAATATAAAAATCCGATTTATGGGACAGTGCCGACCCTTTGTCCCATCCCCGATAACTTCGGGAACTGGCAAAACATCGTAATTTCCCAACACTGGTGGAGGTACTAGCGGACATGTCCATATGCGATGTACGGCCTTCCTTTCTTCTTGGACCAGGACATGTTCGTGTGCGGGACGTGCGGCGGTGGGGTGGCAGCGGGGTTCACTGGTCACCGAACCATCGGGCGTCCAGAAGGGGGCGTCAGGTTTTTTTGGCTGTTGAATTTGAATTCTTCTGTTGTGCTGTTGGGACCCACTACCCGAACGGCCACAAATTGGGACAACCCGCAAGCAACTATTGGAGGTTGCCATAGCTGGTGAACGAAGACGAAGGAGTGGCAAGGCAGACAAACTGTTGTTTGTTGAGTGTGGTGATGCAGTCCACAGGTGATCGTTGGGTGCATGTCCCCGCGCTTTCCCAGCAGCACGACGCAAAAACCATGGATGTGGAGTATGCGGGCAATTTGGAGGAGGATTGGGAGAACATGATGTTCTACCTGGTTCTGATCGTGATGCAGTGGGTGAACAGGTGCAATGCAGCGGCTATGGCCGTCCTCGAAGTTGTCGTCGTTTTTGTTCCGTGATGTGTCCGGGGCGCTGACGATGCTCGCAGGGGGGTGATTCATGGCATGGCTTTGACGTGTTTGGCAGCACAGGAGTTGGGAAGACACATCACTGCGCAGAGAAGGCGATTATGAGTGTTGGAGCGGAGTGGTGGTGTTTGGAAGGACTTGCAGCGAGTGGGACCGGAGCATGACAAGGTCTTCGTGCCGTTCTGCAGACTTCCACGACTCAATGGTTTTGGAAGTCCTTGCTCACATCGGCCCTCATATCCAACGCTCCCCAACAAATTTTCGGTTGCCTTTTAAATTACCTGGCAGGTAGAAGTTTGCATGCGCCCTCATCAGGTGGGCAACCAGCCCCAACCTCACGCCCAGCGCGACTTCCTGATCGGAGTAGGATGTGGGCCTGGAAGTACGAAAAGGAGTGTGCCAAGGATTTTTGGGAAAGTTGGGGTGGAGTCTCAGGTCAGTACTGAGATCTCTTGTCGCAGATTTTTTCAGGGGCACGAGTATAATTTGGCGAAGAGGGCGGACCGCCTCTGGTCATAGATCAGACGGTATGCGCGAATCCATTCAAGGTCGGGCGAGCCATTGGTGCCGAGGACGGCGGTTCGCCGGAAGGTCCCTTCGGGGTGGGTGAGGTTCCGATGAGTCAGGCCGTCGGAAGTTGCCACGTGGCGTCGGACGTCGCGCGTTCGGGTTAGGCCTTCGGGATTCGAGGGCCCTCTGGACGCCGCGTCGTCGGCAATTTCCGCAAGGCGTGTTAGGCCAGTATGGGGCTATGGCCTTTCACGGGACGACGCTGAGCTGGTGATACGGGAGAAGAAGACGAAAGGGAGGGAAACTGGTGGAGATAACGACGAATCCGGGGTGGGTGAAGTAGTGGGTGTGGTCTTGAGTGGGGAAATCATAGCACTGAGGGTCGCTAGTGGTGGCACAGTGAAACTCCCTCGGACACAAACGATTCTCGGTTAGGCAAGGGTATCTCTGTCGGAGGCTTTCCGCTATCCACGGGGTGAAATAGTCCGAGTCATACAACAACGACTCCGAGCTCTCTGAGTGTGTCATTATGTCATCGCAGAGCTGCGAGATGCCTAAGGCCGGGTCTGTGCCGATGGGGATCACCGCGTGCGAGCACGTGCAGACTAGTGCGAATCGAGTCGCGCTTACACGTGTTAGCCCGGGATGATTGCTCCGTCGCAGACCCCGGATGGCCGTATCCAATCAGACAGTATTTCTGCAACCGATGGTTCTTTTTGGAATTGACGAATTGACACACGGGGGCACGTGTAAATGCGCAGATCAAGGCGTGTTTACACGCGTCCTCGCGCGGCGTTCGCTGTGCCAGACATCCGACTGTCTAATCACTCCGTAATTTTCGAGCATGCAAGATACAACAACCACAACAGCTCGATCAAAAGATAAGCAAAAACGAGAACAGGATTACCGATTGCGCAAAATTCCTATCCTACTCATGAGTGCATCAAGGGCAGTAAACAAAGGCAAGGGCAAGGATCCGATAGGAAATCAAATAACCAAACATGACATCCATACATTCATTCAGCAAAACACACACAATGCATCTGATATGGAAATTGAAAAGACAAGTGTGAGCAAAAAACCAAGACTTATTCCGGATTCTAAAAAACAGAAACGGGCGAATCACCCGGAGATGAAATCAAAATTTATATACACGAGACAGGAAAGAGAAAAGATAAAAGAAACAACAAATCTGCGTCCATCAACCTCAACTCCCCGTTCCTCTCTCTCTCTCCGATGTGGACAGTCCATCGTCACGCACCAACCCACGAAGCCGTCACCCCGCTTAGTCCTCCCGCACTCATCAGGTTCGTCCGGGCTCACAGCCGTCGTGGCCCGTGCCAACCCCGCGTGTTTGACACCAGCTCGTCGGGTGGCCCGACTCCTGCTCTACTCACCTCTTACTTCGCTCGTCTGCCGACCCTCTTTGATCGCACAACCCCGAGCTTCCAACAGCTGGTTAAGAGAGTTAACTAATCACGCAGCCGGAATTTATAGCGTGCATGCATGCGCGAAGAACATGGAATTACAAGGACTTAGAAAGAAGATTAGAAGGGGAGCGCCTGCGTTCTGCATGACCGGGCCGCGGCGTGGGGGACGTAGCCGCTCTCCACGCATCGATCCGATCATGCAGACCGCGGCTACCAAAAACACAGCAAAAGAAAGAGAAGAAGGGCGGGAAAGACGCAGCACAAGAAGAAAGATACAGTTACAATGGCGCCAACCCAAAATTACAGTTACACACCCGATTAAAGGCGCCGACTAATCAGAATTTTGTTGCAGCCGCATAGAGAAGCATGTAAGCAAAAGGCACCGCGCGGCAAAAGAAAGTCATAATTACAAAATTCCTAAATTCCTACCTAATGCGTAAAAGCAAAAAGTACAAGTTCCGGAAAGGAAGTCCGAGATCCTGAGAGCCATCGGGGCTCGACAAAATTCGAAAAAGAATTTAAAAAGAAAATTCAAAAAGAACGAAGCAAATTCCCGCGCGATGTCCGCGCCCAAAATCCACAGCCGAACAAAAGAAACGACGTCAACAATTATTAATTGCGCGCATGACAGCACGCCAGCCATTCAACCGACCAATCAATCACCCGTCCCAGGACACGCCCAGTTCCGAACCCCACCATCAAGAAAGGAGACGATGAAAATGACAAAGAAGCGAGGGTACTGATGCAATTTCCCACCGATCCCGATCTCCCGTAATTGGCCCAACCTTCGCAGCTTAGGACCCCTCATTGCAATCGCGCAAAAAATCGCGCGCTACAGAAAGTGGTTCGTCACATATGTGATGCCCAGGGGGTTCCAATATTAGCAAGCTCCTGCTTGCTTGTTAGCACGTGTCGATTTCTCTAATCGATCGACACGCGAAGCTCTTCTCTCTATGCCACTTACCGTTCGAATGAGTGTGGACATCGTCCAATGTGGCAACACAACTCTACTACTAATTCCTCAGGGAGGGCCATTGACAATCCAAGGAGGGGATTACATGTGTCGTTGTTATGACGCGTGCCCATCAGTCCTACATCAGCGAGCGCTAGGGATGGGAAAAGGGAGACGGTACATGGAGGGATGACGAGGGGGAGGGTTGATAGGTAGGGGGGGAAGGAAACTCTCAATTCCGGCCACCGTCTCCGGGAGTTCCTAATAGCGAACGATCCGGTGAAAGCGGGGGAATCGGTTGCCAGTGTGAGGGAGGGACGCGAGGCAATCGGGGTAGAGGGTGGTAAAGGTTCGGAAAAGGGCCGTGCAAAAGTGATCGTGGTTCTCGCATGCGGGGATAGTCCCCGTAATCATGCAGTATACCTCAATCATATTGTGGCCTCGCCATGTGGCACTAAGGAAAAGGATATGGAGGCAGAAGACAGGGAGGGCGCATCGGGTGGAAGGGTGGGGATGAACAGTGACAGCGAGGTGGGTAGTGTAGAAAAAGCGGAAGGTATCGATGGGGAAGGGATTGTCGGGGAAGGTGACGCGAGTGGTAATCTGGCGGAAAGAGAGGTGGTCAAGAGGACAGCGGGATAATGACTGGGGACGAAGCCCGATGCCCCGCATAGGTACGTGGACGAATTGGTGGGCGGTCGGTGGCGGAGGGTGAGGGGGATCGACTTCGTCGCCGTCTTGCCGGTGTGGCCGAAGTCTCGGCAGCTGGGTCCCCATCCTCGGGCTTAGGTGGCTCTGGATCCCGGGCCGGATTGTCGGTGAGCGGCTGACCGGCTGCGCTGGCGAATTCCAATTGTCGCTTCCCGGCCGCGATCTCTTCCTTTTTCTGCGTCTGGGCCTGCGCCCGAGCCTTGTCACGGACTTCCTCCTCAAAACCTTCCCACTCCGACTCTTCTAGCTCCTCCTGGTCTCTTTCTCCTTCCTCCTCGTCGTCTTGTTCTTCTTTCTCCTCCTCCTCCTCACTTTGCTCCCCTTCGCTGTGCTCACTGTAACTCCCCTCTTCGGGAGTTTCTTCCTCGTCGGCCTCTTCTTCGGCTTCTTCTTCTTCCGAACTTTCCTCCTCCGCTTCAATTTTTACCTCCTCGTTCTCGGAAGCCGTCCGATCTTGAAAGAAGGTGAGGTCGACTATCTCGTGTGGGTCCAGATAACCACGCTGTGATGGTGGGTTGCGGCCGCTTCCCAGTTTCTCCAAGCACGCCGACCACTGAAGATATGGCGCCAAGGTCCACGTGAGAATGTGCGGGACTGGGCTGTCGTCGCTCTTCGAGACGATCTCAAGTGGGAGATCGTCGGCCAGCTGCGTAAGGGGGACCGTTAGCTCCTGCAAGATCAGTGGGCGATGATCGGGCCGCCCTGATCCGAAGAGGAACCCGAGTAGATCTCCCTCCACTCTCGTTCGCCACGCCTGGATGATAAGCAGCTCAAGGTACTCAGCCCACTGGCGGTGATCCTCGTGCCGTGTCCACGTGACCCTTAATCGGACCAGACACACCGACAGCTCGGCGAAGTGCTCTCGCCAACGCCTCCACTACTGGGGATCAAGGAGGGGGACAGCGAGTGATTCCAGACAAAAGGAAAGATGCGGATGGACTCCGGACTGCCAGAAGGTGGGAAAGAAGGAGGGTCGAAAGTGGAGATTGGGGATGGGTTCATTGAGGACGGGGGAAGGGGATGAGCTCAGGGAGCACCACCGCTGGCTCGTGCTGGAAAGCTCGGATCCCGTCGAGGTCGACGCAGTCCGTGGGGAAAAGGTTATCGCCGTGGGGCGTGAGCCAGCGATTCCACTCTGACGCCAACTGCTGTGCCCACAGTCGAAGCGTTGTCTTGATAGCCGTATGCCGCAGCGGGCTGATGGTGCTGATGTCGCCACTGAAGGCGACCACCGTAGACACGTGGCTGATTCCAGGAGCTGATCGTCGATGAACCGCTACCGCCTCCGCCAAAACAACCACCCGGGGACTGCCTGCAAATCGAAACTCAGCGGCTGCATACACTCCCTGGGTCCAGAAGAATTGCACAAGTCGCCGAAGGTGCGGGTTGAGCCGTGGATGATGAACTTGTCGGATCGCCGAGATGTAACACCGTGGCACCAGCAGAGGATCGCCGAGAGCTCGCTCCGTAAGAAAACTCATGGCGATGGCGTTGGGGACGGAGTAACAGGAAGAGAATGAGAAGGAGACGGAGAGACAGGCGATAAGCAGTCGTCGTCCTCTTCCACAGCGGAGGAGGAGTTAGATGGAGGCAAGGATGGGGAAGAAGGAAGGGGACGAAGGTAGGACACGTGGCGGATGATCGGACGAGCCGATCGGCTGCCGGAGACCTCAGGCGCAAGCCGCACGGTGTTCACGCCATTCGGTCCGAGCTCAATCACGCGGAATCGCCCGAAGAATCGTGGCGCTAGCTTACCCTGGCGAGCACATTTCCTCACCTGCACGATGTCCCCCAATTTGTACTGGGGCCGTGGACCTGCGTTCCTGTTCCGGGCCTCGTAGCTTCGAACCTGTCGGCCGTGGGCCAACTCGGTCATTTTCTGGCGTTTTTGGGCTAGCCTGGGGAGGGACCGTTCCATTAACTCTAAGTGCCGCTTGGCCTTGTCCCGTGCCGTGGCCCTTGTGGGCCAGCGGTTGAGCGTTGATTCGTCAGGGAGGCTTGGTATCGAAACGCAAGCGACGCTATTGGTCCCTAATTGGAAGGGGCTCAGGCCCGTCGATTCATGGGGCGTTCCGCGATGGACCGCTAGGATGTGGTCGACGATATCGGGCCAGGGCCTCGGATCCCGTGCCTCCATGTTTCGTCGCAGCGTTGTCTTTATCACCCCATTTGCGTTTTCTACTAGCCCATTGGAATGTGACATATGGGGCGCGGTATTCCACACAGCGACACCGTGTATGACCAGGTTCCTTAACACTTTCCCTCTTAATTCTGCCCCGTTATCGGTCAGGATTTTTTCCGTATCTTGGTGCATCCCGAGAAAACGGTTAACATACCGTGCGATTTAGGCGGCTTGTCGCGTGCGACATGGGTAGGCCTCGATCCATTTTGAAAACTGGTCGACAAATACCAACAGGACTAAATATTCACAAATATTAGGACCAAAGGGTACCACGATATCGGTAGTATCCATACTCACCCTTTGGAACGGCCACTCAACTACCGTTGGTACTATCGATCTTGGCGGCTGGATCGGCACCTTGTCAGTAGCGCAGACTTGACAGTTTGCGACGATGAATTTCACATCGTCCTGAATATTGGACCAATACCATTCATTTTTGTCGATGGCCGACTCTGTAATCCGTACGACAAAATAGGCAGTCGTTTCTTCATGTGCTGTCTTCACCCAGTTGTGCCTCATGAACGGATGCAGTACAACCATCCAAATCCCACTGCCGTCCATTTTCCGTTTTTCTAACCTACCCTCTATCCACCGGTAATCCCGAGCCCTCTCATTAGCCCTCCTCCGATCTTCCTTGGTGAAATCCTGGAGGGGGTTACTCACTAAGGTGGCAATCAAAGCGATATCGGTCCATGCTTTGGACCTTCTAAACTTTCGGGTCTTCCCTAATCCTTCTGATGTGGCATCAAAAAAGCGAGCCTCGATCGGGATCTTGTCAAACCGATACAAGGGGCATAGCCACGGCTTACTATCATTTCGATATTGGATGCACGAGCCATGGGCTCGTGCGACACACTGTCGACAATCTACCCATTCCACATAGCCTTCCCCGTTAGGACGCATGGAGACTGAATATACGCGAGAAATTGCTTCGCAAAAATAGCAAAATTTATCGGGCAGGGAGAGAAGAGATGAAGAGGAGATGGGAGAAAGAGAGGTAGTGAGGTTACCTCCGTCACCCATTGCCACCGGTCTGCTTCTTGCCACGTGGGAGAACTGCCACTTGTCCGTACTTAGGCCCGTTTGTCGATTCTGACCCTTTCCACGGAGTGATTTCCTCGCGCTTAGGTACTTCAGCGGGCCTACGCAGACGTGTCAGTCCATCCGCGTTGCCGTGTCTTTCTGTCTTCCGGTGGATGATGTCGAAGTCAACTCCTGTAGACGTACCGCCCAACGCCCAATCATGCCCGTGTAATTAGTGAGTTTTTTTTAAGGCCAGCAGGGGCTCATGATCCGTCACGAGGCGAAACTTCTGCCCGTAGAGATACGGATGGAAGTGCTAGATTCCCCAGACTACTGCATAGCATTCACCTTGGGTTGTTGAGTTATTCCTCCGTTTGTCTAGCACCGTTCGCGGCGCGTACTCGACGACGTGTTCGCGACCATCGTTCTCTTTCTGCGCTAAAATAGCGGAAATAGCTTCCGGTTGTCAGTCCGTGATAAAAATGAATTGTTTCAAGGGGTCCGGTCGGATCAAAATAGGTGTCATCGCCAGAGCGTCTTTGAGGGTCGCGAAGGCCTGCTCACACTCCGCATCCCAACTGAGAGGCTGGTCCTTTCGTAACAGGTTCGTTAGTGGCCGTGCAATCACGGCGAAGCCTTTGATGAAACGACGATAGTACGATGCCAACCCTAGGAAGGCTCGAACCTGCGTCAGCGACGTGGGAATCGGAGCTTCTCTCACCGCCGCGACCTTTCTCGAGTCAGACCGCAATCCTCCACGTGTCACGACGTAACCCAGGAACAAAATTTCCGAGAGGAAAAATTCGCTCTTCTCGAGTGTGATCTTGAATCCAGCGTCTCTCAGCGCTCCCAACGTCCACTCAATGTGTTATGCCCGTGATATGTCTCCGAGTAGACAAGGATATCGTCCATGTATACGATCACACAAAAGTTGATCATTTCCTGAGTTAGCCGTGTCTTGTTTACGAAGTTCTGGAACGTCATGTTCATCACTCGCTGAAACGTGGCAGGCGCGTTTCAAATCCCCATCGGACACCGAACCCACTGCCACGTGCCCTCAAACAACACGAAGGCCGTCTTTGGCCGATCTTCCTCCTTAACCAGAATGTGATGAAAGTCATGCCGAATATCAAACTTACTAAAATAATTAGCACATCCAATCGCATCCAGCAAATCATCAATTCGAGGGAGGGGATACACATCTTTAATCGTGATTTCATTTAGTTTGCGATAATCGATGCATATGCGGATTGATCCATTTTTCTTTGGCACTAATACTACTGGGAACAACCATGGTACCGTGGCGGGTTCGATCCACCCGCGTGCTTCGAGTTCCTGAATTCGTTCGAGAGCCTTTTTCCATTCTATCAGGGAGTATCAGTATGGCTTGAAGTGGATGGGGGAATGATTTCCCGTCCGAATTTCGTGTTGGATGACCAACGACAGACCGATGTCAGTGTCTGTCACGCTAATCGCTCCCTGATACTCCGTCAAAATGTCTGCAATCAAACGATGAATCTCATCAAGTACGTATTGTGGCACGTGTAACTCAAAAAGTTGGTCCCAGATCCGTACGTCGATCTGCTTCGTGCGTGCTTGTTTCGCCACATCGGGCGGTGGCGCAGAGATAAAAGAATGGTTCGATCGCCAGGAGAACACCGTGACCATCATCTGGGCGTTTTCCTCTCGGATGACCAAGTGTCCTTCCGGGGTGATCCCATCGCAGATATCCTGCCATGGCACGGTTTTAGTTGCAATCTTTACTCCGAGCTCATCTGATTCAGCCGAGACGCCCAGGGGGTTCCAAAGAAGTGGCCTCTGCCCTTAGACGTAACAGTCGCACTTCCTTTGCAGGTGTCAATAGGGACTTCGGTAGATCTGTGATATCGCAGTAGTGCTTCTTGTCGTTGTATCGGGCGAGGAGAGGGGAAATTCCTTCGTACAGGGTTTGAGGGGGTTCCAAAGAGTCGACCATCCTCGAAATCTGTATGAGGGGTTCACCCAAAATCATCGCCTTGGTCCTTTGGATATTCCGACTTGTCAGATGCATCGTTCTTGCGATTGTTTTAGACGACGGGTAATAAATGCACTATTGTGCTAGTTTCAGAATTTCCGGATCATTTTCGTCACTCCTATCCACATCCCTCGATGATGGTTCATCGTCTGCGGAGTTTTCTGAGGTGACCATGCGGAGAGTTCCTGCTATCATCGGAGAGACTCGCGGGACCGCGTTGATGGTAGTGCGAAGGGTCAATCTCATAGGTACAGCATAGGGCTTTCCTCCCGTATTTCGGAGGATGATCAACCGTCGCTCGAAATCCAAGTTTGCTCGCAACGCCACAAGAACAGGAAGGCCGAAAAGAACATGATCGTAGGTGTTAATGTCTAATACCACGACATCGCCTAACGCATGCACCTTTCCTAATCGGAAAGCGACGTTGGTAATCTGTCCCACTGTTTTAATCTTTTTTTCGTCTGCCGAAACGAGCTGGTTCTTCTCTGTAAGCATGATCAAATCGTTTTTCCTATCTGCCCTCTCAACTACTCGCAGTGAGATAGTCAAAACAGCAGCTCCCGAATCAATGATTGCATTGTACGGAATTCCCTATATTTCGATGTCACATTCTGCAGATTTCCACGGGATGGGTTTAATCCGCAGGAAATGATCATCTTTCTGTATTAGTCCTACGCGTATTGGATCCGACGTGCCAGTCGTGTTTACGTCTGGCATGGGGTTTTTACTTTCACATTCGTTTTTCGGGGGAGGGCGAATCGTTTTCGGTTTGCTTTACAGTGCTGTAGCATTCGCTCATTAGCTTGTTCAGAGATCGAGAGCGGATGATTGATCGGAAGTGGGATCCGATGGTCCAAAGCTCGGATGATGTTTAGCACGTCGATTTCCCCAGTGACGAAGGTGGGTCCTCCCGACTCCATCTCTCCTGGAGAAGGTCGCCACTCCGCCACTTCTTTCTGTTCCGGCGCCGGCCTAATCGTTCCAATCATCCCGAGCCCAGGTTAACCCAGCGATACGTACTGATCTAACGGGATGAGCTCGGCAGCCTCTTCCGTGGTTGCCAACGCGCTTCCTACACCTTCCATTTCTTCCATCAGGGCTCCTACCCGTCCAGGTCCTTTAGCGATGGGAGCCGCTGCCATCGGTGGAACTCCGACCCGTTGTTGCGGGGGCCGGTGGGGGCAATCACGGGCCAGATGCCCTGGCTGATGGCATGCATAACAAATGTTCAGATTGCTTGTGGCTCCTCCGAGAGATGGCGTCGGGGCTAGCCCTTGTTGGATTGGAGGGGCATGCACCGCGATGGGCCGCATGTTTCTCATCATGGCTTCTTACCGAGCGTTATGTTCTCGCTGTTCCTTTTTGCTTTCCTGGATTAGGTTAATTAACGTTTTGGTTAGCTCGAAAATAACAGTAGACTCATTTGTCCTTACCGG